CATTGCCCCTGGCACAGCTCCTGTGTGGGGCACACAAACGAGCCTGGTCCCTGCTGATGAGCAACCAAAGCCTGTTACCTCCTACAGCCGGGATCACACAGCACCTGAGCCAGCAGAGACCTTTTTGCTGCTGCCCTGGGGAAAAGTGAAGAATGGGTCTAGGCTTTTGTCACCCCAGGCTGTCACACACAGCTCAAGTGAGCTGTGCTGGGAGGGCTTTGTGACACTTGGGCTGCTGCTGATGCTGCAGTTCAGAGGAGAAACGCACGGCTCCAACCTCGAGCTGCTGCTCTTGCACCAGTGCTACATCCCCTGTGAAAGACACAAGGAACCTCAACAGCTCTGGTTTTTAAATGAGTACTGAAAAAATTTTGCTGAAAGGGACAGTGGAATAAGGGAAACAGGATGTCAAATTAGGATCAGCTTGAACCATGTCAAACAAACAACGAGGAAATAAAATGTACCCTGATTGCTGGCAGGCTTGAAGGCTCACAAAGTACTCGCCCCACCCAAATCAAGGGCTTGAAATGGAGCAGCAGTGGAACAGAAACCCCTGACAGTGTAAGATTTGCTGCTCCCTAGTACTGCTTTGCCATCCCCAGGGACAGAAAAAGCATCATTAGGGTTTAACTAGAGTTGGATGAAAACAGGGGTACCCCAAGGATCAATTTTCACTGTGGGCAGCTGCAGCACGAAGCATTAATTCTTCACCCTTTCTGGTGACAGGAGAAACACAGGGAGCTGTAGACACAAATAATGTTAGACTTGTAATGTGTATTTTGCAATGAAATGCTTGCTTTACTTCCTGTTGTTTAGAACTGCATTTATTCTTCAGCACTGCAAGAAAAACCTCCTGTATTTTGTACTTGGTGCACATTTAAAGGCCCATACATTGTAGACTCAGCAAGTGGCAGGGCAGATGCCAAACCTTGCTTCCTTTTTGTTTTCCTGATGATTTAAGACCTATTTTCAGCAGCTGATACTGGTTTCCCCCCTTGCCTTTTTGCTTGGTAACTACCGCTTCAACAAAATGGTTTGTGCAGTGCCTTGGAACCAAGAACTGAGCTTTGTAACATCAGACAGTGAATAGAATGAGAGAAGCAGGACTAAAATCACCTACATACCATGTGCCTTTCAAGGCACATGCTTAGAAATTTATGGCAGAACCCTTGAGTTCTTCCAGAATAAGAATTTGACTGCTAGATTTTTATTTCCTACATAGCTAAAATGACTTGCATGTTTCTGATATTTGTGTTGTTTACCTTCCCCCAGAACAAAGTTTGAAATTATTCTCTGAATCTACAGAAATCAGTAAAATAAAATATTAAAAAACCCACTGCACTGTTTATAGACATTTTTCAGACTTACTGGCTTTCCCTGTAGGGGTAAACCTATTGATGCAAAGTATAAACAGGAAAAGATAGTGTCTGATCAATGCTTTATTTAGGTGCAGGCTTCCTTCAGGAAAGGACAATTCACTTTGCCTCTGCTAACCTGCTAACATGGAAATTAAATGAAGAGTTGGTAAAAAAAATTGTACCCAGTGCCATCAGCATGATTATCCTCTCTGATCTGGTAACAGCCTTTCCTCAGAATTCTTCTCTTGTGAAGAACACAACACTTGGCTTAGTATATTAAAAAAAAAAAACTTCTACTTATTTTTTCAGCAAATAATTGTATATTTAATGTAGGCCCACAAGATGTTGGCATATACTTTGTTGCCTTGTTAAAAGAAAGAACTCAAGTTTGCTAAAAATAGCAGTAACTAGTAAGGATGAAGCAAAATTGTTCCAGAGGAGGACAGAGACCAGAAAATAAAAACCGGAAAGGATACAACTAAAGGGATTTTCAGCAACATGTAAAATGAAGTAAGAGTAACTTTTACGTTCAATGAGTGTTACAATGCATCAATTACAGAGACAAAAGTAATTTAAGGGAAGAGTGTTCACTGGCAGTTCAGCTTGGTCACAAGACTTCATTTGCTTTGCAGGGCAAGGAACAGCACCCCATAATTAACAACTGTGGTCATAAGCTGTGTCCAAAGCTTGCTACCTCCTTGCAGCACATCTCACAAAGCCAGAAAGGTGAGCAACTCCCCTTCTGCACGGACAAAGCACTCACCCCTTCATCCCCACGTCACTGCTGCACAGACACGGCACTAGAAATGAGTTTCACACCTGCTCTGGTGACCCTCAGGTGCTGCTACAGGTCTGCACTGCCTGCTGCTCCCCTGCTTAAGGGAACTGACACAGAAGGATGCCTGAGCTGCAGTGCCTGCTCATCACCCTCACAGGTTTCTGAGCTCTCTAAACCCCCAGCCTTGTATGAGGGGGCACGGCTCAATGGACAGCACTCCAGATCTAATCCTCTCTTTCCTAGTAGGAAGTCTCTGTGTAAAACCACCTGAAGTGAGACTTGAAGTACTGCACTTCATGGTTAAATCCCACCCACTGACTGATTCACCAAAGATGAATTATTGCTGTAGGCTTCAGACAGGATGAGAGAAAGGGAACATACAGAGAAACATCCCTAGGAAGGGTTTCACAATGCACAGGAGATCCATGCTAACTCCAGCAATGATCTTTTCTCAAGAACTGACTCAAGTCTACTCTCTGCATGAATGGGAGGATGTTCAAGGACAGTGACAATACCAAAATGTGCCAATTCAGCAAATGAAAATTGCCAGTCAACAAAGCAGTGGCCAGCACAATGGAAGATCAATGAAGGCCAAACAATGTAGGGTATAGTTACCTTTTATTTATTCTTCCAGCTGTTTGTCCAGTCTTTCCAGCAAGTTCACAGAAAGTCTGACTTTGAATCCATAAAATTTGGTATTACTTCTAGGACAGTGGATTATGTATGCAGATGGATAAAGGCTTGACTCTAAGTTTGTGATTTAAGGACCTTTGGAAAACTGTGCATTAGCAGGGCTTAGAGTTAGGACAGTGGAGAGTTTAGGCTTTTCAATACATTTGCAACATTGCTATTTTTCTCCTACATTTTGTGGTTCTCATAAGCCAGGGAAAATAGCCTAGGTCTGACTGCTCCCTTCAATTGCATGTATCCCGTAATAGGGAAGGAAGGGCTGAGAGTCCCAGTGCTGTTAAACTGGCCACAATGGAAATTATAATAAAACAGGAGATAACAGAAATAATACCAACTCATCAGATTCCAACTTTTGTAGCTAACATAAATGCCTTCAGTGGATACTTGGTTTGATACAAAATTATTCAAATGAACCCTCTCTTCTGGTGTAGTATTTATATGGCAATTCTCCTGGAGAGAAGCTTCCATTCATTTCAGTGTCTCTCGTCTCAATACTCCATTTGGAGAGCTGACACTCCCAATACTTCTAAGAGCTATTAGAAAGAAAATAAAATATCCATAAAATAGTTCTACTTTTCAGAACTATTAGAAAGGGATGCATGTAGGTCAAAGAGTGAAGGGCGACCTTGAAATAAAGAAAACATTCATTTAGTGTACTAAAATACCTTTTCTTCTAATCCGAAATTTAAATACAAACAGTACAGTTTTTCATCTTTTTTACCTTTTGTTTCCTATCCCAAAATACTAGCAATTGTAGCATGACATTAAAATTAGACTGAAACAATTGACTTGTTTCTATGTACGTTGTGAAAAGTTGGTCAAACTGTTGAATTCAACAAAATGAATTCCTGCTTTAGGCTTTTTGTACCCTAAAAATGCTTTCTTAGGTGGCTTCTAAAACTCTTTAATAATAAAGCAGTTCATTGACCAAAATGACTAGGACTGAGGTGAAGGATGCATTTCTGGTTGGGAATAAATCTGAATTCTGAAGAGTGGACCTCTTTTCAAACTATCTTGCAATTGCTAGCCTTTGAAGTATGGCAACTTCTGAGAAGCTAAAAAAATAAATAACTGGTGCCACTTGGGCAATCAGGTACATAAAGCAAACACTGTGTTCGTGGAGCAATCAGTATAGCACTGAATCAAAGTTATAAAATGTAAGATTCCAGGAATTTACTGATGCAACCTAAGGGGTTGGTTTACACCTTTTGAAGATGTCTAGATATTGTTTCTATCAGATTTAGAACACTATGCGAAGAAATGTTTTTCATTAGCCATCCTTCCTCTCCCACCTCATTCACAAGGTTGACTTGTTCTTGAACATGTGTCTGTGGCTTTGGCTTTTACCTGAAGAAATGTAGACGTGAGATCATCCCAGTATACTAAACAATATTTTGTTCTTAGTCACCTGAGGTTGTTCAGTTTTGATTTTGATTTTTACATAAAACCATTACTTTCTGTGAGGATCCATAAAATCAGAAAGTTTTAAGAGAGCTGCAAAAAGAAAACCTCAGAAACAACAAAAGTGAAATCAGAGCTAAGCAGTAGCCATAAAATAAGTCAGCAAAAAATTATGTAAAAAGTAAAAAAACCCCAAAAAACCCAACAGTCTGTGTATTAATGCTTATCTAAAATAACTCCCTAATCTACAAAAAAGTATTATCTAGCAAAATATTAAAAAGTTCTAACCTTAATAATAAAACTCTGTACATTTTGTTTTAAAGCTTACAACCAAGTACTGTATTTAAAATAAGCAAGCATTGTTTTAACCAAAAGTAAGAGTGCTTATAGTAGTTAAATAAAACTACTGTCAATATGCTTTTACTTTGTGTAATTAGTCAAAAAACTTTTAAAATAAGCTGTAACATTAAGTTCTTGATCTACTGCCTAAGATGTGAACTAACAACATCTTCCCATTGTCATAACCACGTAATGGAACTAATGCTAAAAAATAAAACAACTCAAAATGCATTCCAACAATCCCATCCTATTCATAATTTGTACATGGCCCCCAACCAGTGATAACCTCCCACATCTGCTCTAAGCATGGCAAAGCCTCATGCAGTGTCACCACAGAGGGAATTCAGGCTCAGACCTTTGAAACTGGGGACAGATAATGCACTGAGAATCACAAAGGGGTGGGTCACAGCACAGAATACGCCTTCTCTGCAGACTTACAACAAAACTTCTTATTCTTTTATTTATTCTTACAATACAGATTTTGTTTGCAGCTTAATTTTCAGCCAAGAACTTCAGTATTAAACATAAATTAAATTTTGCTCACAAACTAGCCAAAAATACTTGTAGTTTCTAGAGGCGAATTATTTGCATAATTCTTAATTATTAAGCTTCACGACGCAAACCCCATCTGTATTTCCTAGGTGAATATAAACCCTGAAAAGCACTACTTTTCATGCCAAATAACAAGTTGTAGAAAGGGTAGGAGAATACTGCCAATCAAGCAGCTTGAGAGACTTCCTTGTATGTGATGCCATAGTGTATAATTAAAAAAAAATGTTTTCCAGTTCCACTGTATCATCTGCATACTATTCATTTAGTTCCTTGTATTTAGCAGAAGTAGAGCACATTTTCCAGATACCATTTATAAGCCAACATACTCTGTTAATTTTATTCCTTACTGGAAAGTACCTTGGTCTATTCACAAATTAATTGGGGAAGTGACATTGTGACCATTAGTCCCAACTGGTGTGCCTCACACAAGCAGGAAAGAAAGGATGAATAGGCAGGATTTTCCATTTGGCATTTCAGAATTAGGGGAGGTAATGTTTCCAGTTATATACACTTAAAAATATTTTCTGAGAAGATATGCTGAACTTAAGCATTAAGCTAAATATCTATAGCCCTGCATTATTTCATCAGCTATTTCCCAAGACATCACTCATTCCTTTGTTGAAAGTTTGCCTCTTAACAGTACTTATCTTATTTGGAAAAATTACAGGTCTATGAAAGAGCTTTATTTTGTTATACTGGTTTATATAACTAGTTACTTGCACGTTGGTACTAAAGAAACAGAACTTTCTTGTAGTGGCAAGGGGCACTCATTAGGAAAACAACAAAACTGTACAACTGGAAATGAAAACAAAGCATAAAACCCTAACATTTCACATAAAATGAGCTTTCAAGAGAAATATTAGAAAAACCAACAAACCTCAAACACCTTGCCATATTAACTTCAGACCAACTGGAAAGGCACTGAGAATTGAAGTGTGCAACTCATATCCATACCTGTGAGAGCACAACCACAGTGAGACACAAACTTCTGAGGCATACAGAATATGGCACTGTACAATCCATTAGGCATTCCTGGTACACACGGCAGTTTTGTGTTTCCTTAGGGTGAGCTGAAAACGTTAACTAAATGTACACATTACAGCATATTTCCATGGGGAAGAGCAGTCCAGTTTAGACCATCTGAAGATGAGGAAACAAGGCATAACATACAGGACATTGTTGGCACAAGAAAGTGTTATCCTATCACTACACACCTTTTAAAATTTAATCCAATAGATATATAAAGGAATGGTGGTGGCAGAGGCAAAGGGGCAGGACTAATATCAAATATTCAGCTCTAAGCATGCTAGTGAGGTCTTTGTTTCATAAAATGAAGCTACCAAAAGCAGTTCAGAGGCAAGAAAGCACTTATCAAGACAGTCCAACCCATTTCCAGGCATCCTTCTTCTGGGCTGACATGTGCAGACTGAAGGATCTGTCCAGTCAAGTTTCCATGCCCAAAGCTGTCTAAAGCTTCCCATTAGCAAATGCTGCCTCCTGGAACTGAGGGACAAATGTCTTGAAATATGTCCTAGTGAAAAGAACAGAAAATATATGATTAGGAAAGAGTAATCTTAAAAGCATGAATTGAAGTACTTGATGTTTCCCATGTTTTCTATTTCCCTTATGTGGAGAAGGCTTCACATATGGTACAAAAGGCCCAAAGACAGACAAGGCAATGGAGCAGGAAAAGAGTGAAGAGCAGTCAGGATACGTGTAGGAGATAAGCTCTTTATCTGTCTCACAAACCTTGACACAATACTGCCACTGCTGATGGCAGCAGTTTACATGAAATGCAGCAAATAAATACTAACAACACTGTATAAATGGTAAGTCCTTTTATTAAACTTCAACATTTACAGGATAATGCTCTTTTTAAAGTCTGCTTTGTATATTTTGGTAGTCTATCTTCTTTGCAAAGGATCAAGCGACTCATAAATCCATAAAATGAGCTAATCCTCTATATCCAAAATTGAGTTAGAACTGTACCTTTGAGAATTTTTTGCTGAGATCCAGGGATGCCCTTTATTTGCCAGTTATATTAGAAGCTACATTATCATTCTGCCTTCGGTTTCTGCCTACTTTTGCACCAAACTTTCAATTTCTCTATTTTTTAAAATTTTATTTTCTATTTCTATCACTGGTATCTACAAATTTCTCTCATGTTCTCACTGAGAAGAAATCTAAAGCTGCAATGTCATTTATTAGATTCCTGATCTCTCAGCTGGTTTACCTCCTGAAGCAAACACACACTGATCAGGTTCACAACCATGATGTGTTTCATAACTGCAGTAGAAGCTTTGGCAATCACTGAACAGCAACCATACTTCCTCACACCTAAAAACGTTGCAGGACCATGAAGGGAATGCTCCTCTCTCTTTGTGAAGTTGTGCCTGGCAAATTAATTAACAGATAGCTGCAGTCAGCTTTTGTGCACAAGATATAAATACATATGAGATGCTGTCCAAAGGTTAAAAGAGCAATGGAAAGTAAAAGCATTTCTGGACTGAGGAGCTGATCCCAGAAATGGAAACAACCATAATAAAGAGGACAACCAGCACACACATTTTATAGCATATACAGATTGTGCTGTGTATTTACAGAACACACTTTGGTTTATTGAAGCAAAGTTCAGAAAACAACCCTCATAATCATGCCTGCAAAAGTGATTGTTCCTGCTGGCACACACACGAACATAAACCAGCTGAGAAGGCCTGCCTGTCTCCTGATCTCAACAGCTGGGTGCCATTTCTGTATCTGTGTTTTTTCTACCAGACCTTTGAAATTGTAGCTTTTGTAAGTCCTGTTTAATTCTACGTGTTTTGCTAGCTCATGGAGTACCTCCTGCACGTTGTCAATGTCAGGACCTATCCCTTTTACTTGTCCTTGCTTTATCTCTCCTAACATTTAATTATGCTTCTCTGCTTGCTTATTTTAAACAGCTTCCCCCTTCCCCTTTGATACCTTCTCTGCAGACTCTCTTCATGCACGTGACCTTAATCAACTTGATAAATGTTACTTAAAACTTCCTTCTTCCAAAACTGTAGAAATTCTTAATCATTAAATGGGATACAATCAGAATTATTTTCCTACATTTAATTTTTTTTCTCCATAGCATTTCTGTGCTTTGTATTAAACCCACACTTAGTGCATTATATGCAGTAATTATATATGCCTTTTCTGTTAAGTAAAATCCAGAATGAATGCTTATGATACCACAAACATCCTCCCACACCAACTTTATCTACACTTGCATCCTTTCTTTTCACTGATTCCTGCAGGAGAGCTTGTATCCATTCCTGCAAAACCAAGTCTAACACCTCCCTACATTCTGATCAGATGTACTGTGTCAAAAAAGATGTTATTTCACTGGTAGTTCATATGAACCTCTTGGCAATGTTTCATACACTACAAAAATTCCTTTAGTATATCATCATTTTAAATGTCTGCTTTTTTTCTTTTTATACCTTAAAGTACATGCTTAAAGTTGCTCTTATCATTTTGGTCTTGTCCAGACTGAAGCAAATGCAGTACCACAAGTGTACTCAGGTATTGTTCCTCCATTTCTCTCCCTCTCCCATACACCTGAAGTATCTCAGATGAAACAAAATCAGAGATAATTATGGTTCATCACACCTACCACAAAAAAATAAATTAACACTGCTCCCTTCACCTTCCCAAACAAAACCAAACCAGGCCCTGCTAAGAGATGTAAAAGCCCAGTGTGTCCGACAGGACTGTCTCAGCTACAGCACATTTAGTAGATTGAGGAGAAAAGATGGGAAAGTAGGAGAAGGTAAGTGAAACTCCTTAATGAACATTGAAAACTTTTTCCTAAATTTTTTCTTTTCATCCCAAAGTTTGGGACAAAACCATGTGTTAAAATACCTGAATTTCCTGTGAAATGGAAATTACATTTTAGTTACAACAATCTCTGCAGAGGTCACCAGTAAGGAGGAGAAGCAGCAATCACCTTCTGAGTAAGTTTCATCTATTGACCATCTGGCATTGAAGTCAAAGTACACATGCTTCTGCCCAAATAGGACCATGACACAAAATATTATGTCATGACAGATGGCACAAAATAATTTTGAGAGAAATATAAAATCTTTTGAAGGACAATACTCTGCTATAGACTGCATGGTAAAGGCATCTTTCATATGCAATGCTATTCCTTATACAAAGATTTTACATCAAGAGACAACACTCATGCTCAGCATCCTGTATGCACAGGCACAGAGAAACAGCGAATATAAACGTGAACTTTGGATAAAGATACATTCCTCATACTCTATTATTATTAACACATTCATATGAATTACACCTTCAATAACTATGATCTGTGCTATACCATAGGGATTCATTAAAAGTGTCTGAAAGGTTTTTTTTCAGAAACTTTGCCAAATGATGTTCTTAAGTTATCTATAAACTATTTTGAAATTATTACTTTTATATACACTAGATATGTTTTTCAGCACTGGAGAACTGTTATTAAAAAACCCAACAACAGTAATTTAGGTACCTGTTGAATTACACTGAAAGTGAAGAAAGCTAATTTGACCTATGGTCTGTCAGGGCTCTGTCAAATGGCAGAAATCAGCTTTTGATCAATGTCTTTTCTCCTTTCTGGGAAAGATGGAGATCCTTCTTTCTCCAGCTTTCATCTGCCATGTTCTTGGTGGGTCTGCATCACACTGACCTTATAGCAAGCTCAGAAGACCTGCATAAATTCTCCTGTAAGTACAGGGAAACTCATTTGTACAAAGTACACAGATATTCTTCACGTGAGTGTAGAGTACAATCAACACTCACGGAAAGAAAGTAAAACACACACTGAGTATTGCATCCTTCTCACAATGGTTTTGATTCCAGCTTAAACAGTGTTTAAAAAGTTGCTTTCTTTTCAGCCTAGAGTGGGTGCCAATCTTCATACACTTATGGGCACATGTCTAACACTTTGTTGAGCTTCTTATAAGACTCCATTGTTTTTTGTCTATTCATTTTTATTCCCTCAAATGGTCATTTTCCAAGTTCAAGGTAGTAAGTTATGAGGTTTCCATGGAAATTTTTCTTCATCACTCCAGAAAACAACACATTTTGCTGTAGTTAACCACTATATATACTTGACACAGTACAATGAATTCCAGGTGCTATGCTCAAGGACATCTGTTGAGAATAAAGCACTTCTCTTTCCTTCATTTTATTATCCAGTGGAAAGAAAGTCTTGCTATAATTGCAAGTGGTAAGTATCTAAAAGAAGACAGAATTGGCTCACCTGCTGTTTACATATTTCCCAGTGATATGAAACACTGAGTGTGGTACAAGGTCTCCAGAAGCCCATACATGTCTAACTCCCAGGGTGTGGGTTTGCTGTGCTTAAAACATACTTGACTCAGAATTCACATGCTTTTGTGAAATTTCATTCTAATTGTACTGTTTTTTCCCCAGGGTAATTTAGTGCTGGGTTTTTTAAATGCAGTTGGTAGAAAATCTGCACTGACCACTTGATAATACCTTTTCCTTTCACATATCTATGCTGAAAATCTGCAAAGATTTAAAATTATGTAGCTGCAATCTCCCATCAAACAACATTTCCCATATATTTATGGTTATAGCATTCTCACACCAACACACTCAATTTCTGCTGTTGCTTTTGCTAGACTGGTACTATAGCCAGCTATACAAGTGTGTTCTAGTTACTGCTACTGGTGTAATAAAGTTACAAGAGTTGCTTAGGTGTTTCTATTTCTCTTAAAATCTTCATGTGGCAAATTCAGAGCAGAAGATCAAGACAAACTCTGTGAAGAAAAAAGCATACAAATGTACCAATGAGATTTCTGCTTTTTATGTCTGGGACAAGGAAAATCATCATGGGGTGATGAATCATCTTCCCAAGTCGTTCACAAAATATATTCCCTTTAAACTCCTCAGTTTATAACTGCCAAGATTTCCAGCATGATGATCTCAAATTCACCCATGCTAGCCCTATTTGCACTCATGTTTTATTTGTTTCAGCTCAAGATGTGAAACATTCAAGTGCTTTTTCCATCAAGAGATGATTTGAGGAAAATGAAGGGGATGAAATCATCATGATGGTCCACATCAAGAACAGACTTGGCAGTACAGCAACACTTGTACTACCAGCACAGTGCCTTACTGGCAAATTAAAGCCCTTGAGCCACAATCTTCATCTTTTCACAAAGACACAGAGACCTTCTCTCACTGCATCAGGCACACGTGTTGTGTTCCTTCTCATCTGAAGGCAGACTCACATTTGGATTTTTTTCTACTACAGGTTTGAGAGCAAACTTTATTCCTAAATACTACCCATTATTTCAATATTTTAGTAAGTACTGCAACAGATATTTAATTCTGTAAATATCTGGCTCCAATTATAGACCCTTAGTGTATTCAAAATCATAGTAGCCAGTGTATTTGACAAATACATCAATTTTCTCCTACTCTAGGCAAGCCATATATAATATGTATGAATTCTTTTCTAAAATTTTTCAAGTTAATAGATCTGACTTG